GTATTACACACCTCATTAGGATTTGCTGGGTTACTTTCCCCACTTTGTTTCCCACAACACCGAGCCTTTCCAAGGTTCAGTATGCAGGGACATTAATAGTGCAAAGTGTCAGGCACTTAGGGACTAACAATAAAATTTTTTGCTATAAGCTGGAGTCTTATCGGTTGAAAGCGACAGAGGTGGCAAAAGTCCTGGGTGTATTGGTTGATCACAGGATGACTAAGGGCTGCCAATGTGATGCAGCCATGAAAAAGGCTAATGCAGTCCTAGGATGCATCAGGTGAGGTATTTCCAGTAGAGACAGGGAAGTGTTACTAACATTATACAAGGCACTGATGAGACCTCATCTGGAACACACAGTCTCCCATGTTTAAGAATGATTAATTCAAACTGGAACAGATGCAGGAAAGGGCTATTACAATAATCAGAGGAAGGGAAAACCTACCTTATGAGAGGAGACTCAAAGAGCTTGGCTTGTTTAGCCTAACCAAAAGAAGGCTGCGGGGAGATATGATTGCTCTCTATGAATACATCAGAGGGATAAATACCAGGGAGTGGGAGGAGTTATTTCAGTTAAGGGCCAATACAAGAACAAATGGATATAAACTGGCCATCAATAAGTTTAGGCTGGAAATTAGATGAAGGTTTCTAACCATCAGAGGAGTGAAGTTCTGGAACAGCCTTCCAAGGGGAGCAGTGGGGGCAAAAAAAACTAACTGGCTTGAAGACTGAGCTTGATACATTTATGGAGGGGATAGTATGATGGGACTGCCTACGAGGGCATATGGCTGATCTGTGACTGCTGGTAGCAAATATCTCCAATGGTCAGTGGTGGAACACTAAATGGGGTGCGTTTCTACAGAGAATTTTTTCCCAGTTGTCTGGCTGGTGAGTCTTGCCCACATGCTCAGGGTCTGATCGCCATATTTGGGGTCGGGAAGGAATTTCCCCCTGGGTCATATTGACAGAGTTCCTGGGAGTTTTTCACCTTCCTCTGCAGCTGGGATATGGGTCACTTGCAGCTTTAATCTAGTGTAAATGGTGGATTCTTTGTAACTTGAAGTCTTTAAAACATGATGTGAGGACTTCAGTAACTCAACTAGAGGTTCGGGGTCTATTACACGAGTGAGTAGGTGAGGTTCTGTGACCTGCAATGTACAAGAGATCAGACTAGATGATCATGATGGTCCTTTCTGGCCTTAAAGACTATAAGTCCTGATTGGCACAACAATTTCCCCTCCTTTTACCTCCACATCAGAATCTCTCCTTTCCTCATTGACAGATCTCTTTGAAGGGAAATTTTAATAAAATAAAATACAACTCCCTGTATTCATTAGTTATACTTAGGACACTTCAAACTGTATAAAGGAATGAGATACTAGGCTGGAGTATCAGAGGAATGATACCAGCAAAATACCTTATAATTAGCACAGATAATGAAGAACAATTAAATGTTTCTGAATTTATATGACCCTCATCTCAGTAGTATCTGCACACATGTGGAGCATATGTTGTGAACTGCATTGAGCAATCAATTCCATCATATACAAAAATAAGATAAATATCACAGAAGTTACTTAAGATGGCATTTTTCAGTAATCTGAAAGTAATTTGCACTACAGCAAAAAATAAATAAAAAAATAGAAATAACTCTGTCTAATGCCCTCCAAAATCCCTATTGAAATATATGAAATGAGTGACTTTGTCTGTCAATTACCCTCTGTGTAAGTGTTTACAGTATGATGTTTTTATATACATCATTTTAAACCTCGACTGGCCACAATTTTTTACCACTAGTTGCTGCTTTCTAGGACTTCACTAGGGAGAAAAACATAGAAAGTCAGTCTCTATTGTTCATTCCACTGATTTCAAATGAAAAAATATTAAGACTCTCATTTAACATGCAATTGTTAACATCCCACCTAAATCCACTCTAAAATGCATCTACAACCTGTGAATCGTTTTCCCTGATACTTGCATACAGTTATAAGGACAGCCTTATAGAAGAGAAAGTTAATGGAAAGTTGGCACTTTGGACTTCCTAAAATCTTCAGGTGAGATTAAAGTTTTGGTTTTTTTCCTACTGAATGTGTTTGATACTACAAATAATGTTTTGCAGTGGAACAGTAAAAATTTTCACCAACAAATGTCTCTAAGCCTTTTTTCCCATGCTTCCCTTTTAACTTGCAATGTCCTTCCAAAATCTAGGTATGCCATGCTGTTGTAGCTATGTCGGTCCCAGGATATTGGAGAGACAAGGTGGGTGAGGTAATATCTTTCACTGGACTAAACTTCTGCTGGTGAGAGAGACAGGCTTTTGAGCTATACAGAGCTCTTCTTCAGGTCTGGGAAACTTACCTCAGATGTCACAGTTATATACAAGATGGAACAGATGGTTTAGCATATGTAGTTAACACATATTTCAAGGGATCATTCAAGGTGAAGTGGCCATTCACGCCCCTACGGTCATAGGCAGGAAGGGGGGGGGGAGGAGAAGCAGCTGAGGGGAGGGTTGTTAATGGGTTATAGACTGTTGTAATAAGTCATGAATCCAGTGTCTCTATTAAGTCCATGATTTTTTGTGTCTAGCAAAGTAATGAATTTATGGACACTGGAAAAATCCACACCCCTAAGCGACATAATTTTGCCGGCCTAATTCTCCATGTAGATAGCGCTATGTCGGAGGGACAGCTCCCCCCGCCAATGCAACTACCGCCTCTTGTGGGTTAACTACACTGACGGGAGAGCTCTCTCTCTCTCCCCTCACTTTAGAGCGCCTTC